GCTATCCGGACCAAACGTGGAAAAACCATATGAGGGTCTTGCTTGTTCACGGACATAACTGACTGTTGTGCTTGAGTCGCGTCTACCGCATTGACCACGATGAGTCCAGAGTTGCTTCGAGTGCCTCGTCATTCATTTCCGCTGCAAGCCGGAGCTTCGCCAAGGAATTCGTGCTGACAATGACGGCCTAACTTGCAGATACGCTGACAGCATCAAGGAAAGAAAGCCGGGCGGTACGGGTTTCTGCTACGGCGAGTTATCACGTCGTCCTTCTGCTTAGTCCAACAATAGCAATGTAGTCATCTTTGAAGGTGTTCTCAAAAGCGTCCAACATGTTTATCATAACGCGATCGGTTTTCCTCAGCGACTGGTCAAGTGCGCAGCGTGACAGGGACTCGCTCTATCAAGAGTGCTGTGTAGCTCTTTAGCCTGTTGGAATGGCATGAGTAGAAAAGGTCTCGCATCCATGAGTGAGACATCTCTAACTGGGCCGAGACACAAGGCATAGAGTTAGCTCAGTCTCATCCTTGTCGTGACGGGATCGTATATCTGGACCCGCGATACGACGGAGAGAACGCCTGTTGACTGAAGGTGCGTTATCGCGATTTAGCTGCCGAGGCTAGTCAATCTTAGCGAGCCATGCGCTCATGACCGCCCATGTTCCAATGTTGACGACATCTGCGGCGGAACCTTCAAGCGCGCCCTTCACTCGCCACACGGAACCTCCATCTACCCATGCACTTTGCGTTTCTCCCCACGACTCTACCCCTTCCCGAAAGCGCCGAACGACCCCACCCATACACCACCTGAACGCCGGGCCCACCATGCCACGCCCCTCCTTCACTGACTTGCCGACCGAGATCCTCGAAGCCGTCTTCCTAAATCTCGACCCGCGCTCCCTCGCATCCGTTTCGCAGACGAACAAACTCATCAAGGAGCTCACGACCGATGCGCCTATAATATGGCGCCACCTGTGCAAGACGCAATTCAAGACATGGGACGCTCGCCACAACATTATCGCCAAGTTTGCAGCCCCGTTGTCCGATGTCGACTGGCGCGCCCTCTACATGACGAAGCATACAATCGAGCGTCGCACCAAAGAGCTCTTGAACCGCATTGTGAATCGCCAGCAAGGGCGCATACGATGCATCAACGACATCGCCGAGTTTGGGTACGATGCGAAGGAAACGCTGTTGAAGGAATGCGCATGCCCCGACGATGCACACGACGTTCTAGCGAGGCGGTACTACGCCAATGCCGTACTGGAGCGCATACATCGCGAGGTCGCCATCAAGGTGTGGTCGGATCTACATGACGGCAAGGACATATCGATAGAGAGAGCTCTGGGCGCATACGATGTATTTGCGAGAGTGGGTGAAGATGTAGACATTGACGTGGTAGCTGAAGACATCACTGCACTAGCCAACAGGCTACTGGAGACATATCCCGACTTGCGCAGCTGGAGTCCACGGACACAGGCCTCGACTTTGGCATCCTTCCTCCGTGACGAAGGCTTCAACGGTGTTCCAGACACGTCGTACCGCGCACTTCGGAATTCCTTCATTGGTCTTGTCATACGTTCGGCGACCCACGAGTCTCTCCCACTCATCTCAGTCGCTATCTATTGCGCCGTAGCACAGCGGATCGGCCTTGATGCACGACCCTGTGGGTTCCTTTTCCACGTCTATACTCTTGTCTATGCGCCCAAGAACTACAATCTCGATGGCCAGTACAAGCCGACGAGTTCGGCGCAGCTGGATTACATGTACCTGGATCCGTTTCGCTCTTCCTCCGAAGTACGGCAAGGCGATTTACAGAGGATCCTACGCGACATGGGTGTTCCAAAGGACGAACACCATGGCTTTCTGAGCGACACCAACACCCGAGAGATGGTAATGCGCACTGCGCGCAACATCATGAACTCGGTACAAACGATCCGCGAAACTGAAGCTGGAATGGGCAGCATCCAGGCGTCATGGATGAACTCATACCCAGACATGGACAACGCGTTCTACGCAACTATCTGGGCAATGCTGCTCCTTGGGCCGAACGACGATCATATCTCATCTGGACATAACCAGATCCGTCGTCGCCAATATCTGCCGTACCTGCTCGAGCATTTCCAGATGCACTACCCATGGGACGTGACGTTGCTATCACGCTACGTCATCCCTATGTTCTACAACCAACCCGAGGGTCGTCGTCTGCTCCAGTTTGTGCAGAGCATGCATCAAGTTGATTCCATGCGGAAGCCTGTTGCCAATCGCTCTGCGCGCACACAGAATGTTGCTTTCAAAGTTGGCCAGCTATTTCAACACAAGCGTTACGGCTATGAGGGTGTCATCACAGGCTGGGACGTTGTCTGCGACGCGAACGAAGACTGGATTCAGAACATGCGTGTAGATTCCCTATCGAAAGGTAGGAATCAGGCTTTCTATCACGTACTGTAAGTTCATCTCTTAGCGCCTTTACTATATTATGCTAATTGAAGTAGTGTCTGCGACAAATCCGTTCGCTACGTTGCTGCCGAGAACATCAAGCCTGTGGATGAGGATACATATCCCTCCGAGGCGTTGCTGAAACTCGCTGGCCGCCATTTCAAGCGCTGGGATAATGAACAACGTTGTTTCGTGAGCAATGTGCGCGACGAATACCCCGAGGATTAGAAATTGCAGGGCTAAAAGCAAGGTGGGGTTTGAAAAGTATAGATAGATAAAGCTATGACGATTTGTTGCGCTCCCTAGTCGAGCGTCGCATCAAATGCTGTTATATCCCCACTCATTCCGAGCCTGTTGGTCTCCGGCCTAATATCGAACGAAAAATATGGAACATTCCCAAGATGATTGCTGTAGATCCACAAAGCAATCACCACAATCTCACATCCTCACTTTCTTCCCTTGCCTGGCATAAAGCGATCTAAGTTCTCTTCCAGGAAGCCATTTTCGGCTAGCATCTCGAGCCACTTCTTGATGACCGGACCAGAGTCGTATCGCCGCTGCGCAGCCTTCGAATCCTCTTCTGCCTCGTTCTGCATCTCCATCATGATGTTCGCAGCCAGTTGATTGGCTTGCGAAAGCAAATCGCTACGGCGAACCAGGAGCTGGGTCATGTCTTCGCTGTCGATGGTCGCTTTGAGAGTAGTGGAGATAGGATTGACCGCAAGAAGCTCTTCGAGGCCTAGCATACGGGGACTGGGCGGCTGTTCATTGGGGTCAACAAGATCTCTCCAGTCCTGAGACGTAGAAGCTGAGATGTCATCGAGGCGTGTGTCGACATGCGAGAGGGTGTTGATTGTCAGACCAGCGTTCTTGCGCAGTGAGAGCAATGGAGACTGCGTCAGAGCAACAACGCCGTAATCGTCGTCGCCAGCAGCCATGAGCGTAGAAATGGTTGTGGATACTGACTCAAGCCATGTCTCGCCGCGCTGCGGATCGAAGGAGCCAACGCACGTCGGCTGCCTGTCCAGACCGTCCAACTTCCAGACTTCGTTTCCAACCGGTACGAAAGCAATGTAGTGATGCGCATTATCCTCAACGCTCTCTGCACTATCGTGACTGGCGACGGTGTCGGTCGAAGCAGCGCGTCGCGACTTGGATCCCTTCTTGGTAGGCTTGGTCTTCTCAGTCAACAGCTGTGCCTTGATTCGCTGGGCACGTTTGACTTTGTAGCTGAGATGTTTGTCGCCCTCGAGAATGTCCATCTTCTTGGCAAACGAATTGTGAATCTTCTTCACAAAATCGAAGCTCGCAAAAGCCTCACCGCGCTGGTATGGCGACAAGACTTGCGTGAAATCCTTGAACTGGGTCAAATGCTCGCCGATGTGCACATCAGCTTCGTTGCTCTGGTTCATCATGATATTGATCATGGCTAGTGTCGCACAACTGTTCTGGGCGGGCAGTTGGTTGGCGAACCAGACGTCCTTGGGACACTCGGCTGCCTGACCGTCGTTGCCAAATTCGCGGTAGTGGAAAAGCAGGATAAAACCGTAGACAGGCTGCGGGAAGTTGTCGAGAAGGAAATCTGTATCCATACTGAATACTTCGCGTACCGTCACGTCGCGGACGCCCATCTCGCGGAGGATGACGGAGAAACAGGCGGGTTCACTTTCGATTTCGCAGAATCCTTGCCAGGTCTCTTTGTCGAAATTGGTTGCAGGCATGTCTGGTGGACTGGGGAAAACCAGATCGGTAGAGGCGCCGTTCTGAGGCGACGGTGGGCCTGGCGAGTCTTTTGCCTTTTTACTGCTGGGCTCCGACGCTGTAGTGGGTTCAGGAGGACCTCGCTTCTTGGTGTTGGGTGAGGCCGTTTTCGATCCTGTGCTTGGAGATAGAGTGTCGTTGACAGACTGAGCTGTAGCGGCGCCATTGATTTCTACTGCGATTGCAGAGACTGTATCGGCGACTTGGTTTGCCAGGTCTTTGCTGGGTATGGCTTGTTGTTGGGTTTGCTCTTGGATTCCAGCTTTGACATCCGAGCCAGCTCGGATATCGTGGACAGTCTGACCCTCCATACTAGCTGATTTGGGTTGAGAGAGGCTTAGAGTGAGTTGTAGTTTGGAGTTGAAAGAGTTCAAGTGTGTATGTGGACGTTTGGAGGTTGGAGGAAAGGAAAGCAGACGAGCATGGTGGGAGGCGATCTGTGAATGAAGCGCGACTATCTTTTCTATTGTGGGGTTCGACAAGACAATAGGAAGCGAGCTGATAATGGTATAAAGTGAACGTGAAAGCAAGTGGCAGCGTGCAGGTAGTCGAGGTTCCAAGGTTGGGGCGCTAGCACGTGACGAGCTCGGCGTCATCCACTTCTGATTGGCCGGATCCATCTCAGCCGGCATCCTTGTCGCGCTCGTCGCGTAGACTCTAGGTAAATGTTTGTTTGAGTTTCACGTCCACCGACAGTCCGCCCAGCGCAACACGCCCGATCACCCCCCGGCCGAACACGCATCTTCGTCGCATCTCCCAACCCATGATCACGACATAGCCGACGCTTAACTTCTGGGTGCGATGAACGGCACACCCCAGGTTCGCCGAGGCGTGGGCGGCTTCCCATCAACACCACAGAACACGAACCGCTCCCCCGGCCTCCAGAGCCCGAATGGCACAACACCGCGACCCAACATCAAATCGCCCTTGCCAGACTTGCCCAAAGCCCCCGCGCAGTCAAGCTCAGGGCCCCTAATACCCGCCGACATCCTCGATCCCGCCCAACAACGCTTCTATGTCTTCGCCCTATACGTCGCCCTATGGGCATACCGAACATACGACTTCTATACGCTGGCTGTCGAGGAGGACGAATCGTTAGTGCTGTGCCTGAAATGGTGCTTCTTCGACGTGCTGTTCATGTTCGGCATACCGCTACTGGAAATTCCTTGGCTGGAATGGGGCAACGGCGCCGCCTTCCTGCTGTTTGTGCTGCATGCGGGCGTCGACGTCATGCTCATGTTCAGAATTGGCATACCGGTACAGGCATGGCTTATGGGGCTGGTGGGCTTCTTGTGGGATAGCGAATTGGCCATCAGCGAACGGAGCGTCAAGCCTGGTGCTATCCTACACAATGCCTCCCTTATTCTCGGAAAGCAGATTGTCAACATCTTGCCTGAGGGTTCTGCAGTCTTGAACCCAGATAGGCAGTCGTTCTGTCTGAACTCGTCCGTCACCCAACTCGAAATCCCGATTATGATCAACCAGACCGAACCCCACGAGATGGAGATCCTGCGCATCGACATCGATACCAATGTCAACGAGACCATCGTTGTTAAGAAGGGAGAGCTCAAGTCTATGTTGAAGAAGGCTAGGAAGACGCAGAAGTCATCCGACCCTGACGATCCATTGACTCTGGCCTACACGATCAAGAAGCCAGGTGTATACCTGCTCAAGAAGGTTACGGATCAGTCGAAGCTTCTGGTCCGACCGCGGTCCACCAACGTCGTCGTGGCCACCTGCCCGCAAGCTCGAGTCAAGCCTACTGGCAACAATCGCTGCCGTAGCGATCTATCCAACGTTGCACTCGAGGTCGAGGGAACGCCGCCTCTGAACGTCAAGTACCGCCTCACGGTGAATGGGAAGCCCCGCGGCGGGTCTCAATTCCAGAATCTGCAGCCAGATGACGCCATCTCGCCCTTGTCGAAACACACATCACAAGCACTGGTCAAGAGCGGACGCGAAGACATTTCCTGGGCACGCCCGCACAAGGTTCTCGTACCTCTGAACGAATCTCTCACCACTAGTGGCTCTTGGGAGTACGAAATCGAGGAGGTGCAGGATGGACTGGGCAACTTCGTGAGCTACCTGAACGTCGACGATGACGAGCGCCCAAGGCCCAAGGTCGCAGGCATTCGTCAACTATTCGAGGTCCACGAGCGCCCTACAGCTTTCCTCAGAGGCTGTAGCCCACAGAACCCGCTTCGGGTACCCAAGGGTGAAGCTGCTCGTCTGCCCGTCCAGTACCAGTCTACGGGTAAAAACGCTATTGACTCTGCGCATACCGTTGAGTATCTCTTCACACCCCAAGAGAATATCGTTTCGGATGGCTACCACAGTCCAGATGCTGTACTGCAAAAGCAGGTCATGCGAAAGGGTGAGCAACCTACTATCAAGGTCGCCGGTCTTTACACCATCAAGTCTGTGTCGACCGACTTCTGCGAGGGTGAGGTTTTTGAACCTACTTCGTGCCTACTACACAATCCGCCCGAGCCGGACCTCACGCTAGACAGCGAGGACATCATAGACAAATGCGCGGGCAACCCCATCGGTCTCCGCGTTGGCCTTGATTTCGTTGGAAGTCCACCTTTCGTGGTCACCTACTCCGAGAAGAAAGACAACGGCCGAGAGGTCAGGCAGCCGCCACTTCAGATTGCCAGTCTCCGCAGTACGATCGATCTTACGCCGACAGATGCGGGTCATTACGAATACTCATTCAAAACCATCAGCGACTCGGTTTACAAAGAGAGGCCCCTTAGCAACATCAAACTCCAACAGGACGTCAAGCCATCCGCACAAGCATACTTCATTGAAAGCAGTAGACCTAAGCAAGCTTGTATCGACGATGTGGTTGAGTTTGACGTGGGCTTTGCTGGTGAGGCACCCTGGAAGCTCGAATACGAAATTGTCCACAATGGCAAGCGTACGAAGCGCACCATCGAGACCGAGACCGCGCACTACGTGATACGAACAGACAAGCTCAGCAGCGGTGGCGAGTACGTCGTAGCTCTGACGAGTGTTACCGACAAATCTAAATGCAAAGAGGTTCTCAAACCCGTAGCTAGAGTCAATGTTCGTCACGAACGACCCAAGGCGTACTTCGGGCACATTGAAGGCAAACAATCAGTCTTGGCTTTGGAAAGTCGACAAGTCGGACTTCCTCTTCGCTTTACTGGAAACGGCCCTTGGTTCCTAGAGTACGAAAACTTGAAGACCAAGGAGGTCAAGAAGGATAGCTTCCAAAACCCCAACTCGTGGCTTGACGTCAAGACAGATGGAACATATCAGTTGATCTCCGTTAAGGACTCTGTTTGCCCTGGCTTGATCGATGAAAAGGCTGACCAATTCGACGTATCTTGGGTCGCACGTCCCTCGCTTAGTGTTCCTGAAAGCAGCGCGGTGCTGGAAGGCAGCAAATATATTAAGGACGCCGTCTGCGAGGGTGACGAGGATTCATTCGATGTGTCTTTAACCGGTAAGTTATCCCGAGTATCCCACACATTGCCAATGCTAACGACATCGTAGGAAATGCTCCTTTCGACATTTCTTACCGACAGGAATACAAGGACAAGAAGGGAAAGACAGCCTCTGTCAGCGAAAAGGACTTGCACACCGTTGGTGGTCTTGCATCGATTCGATCCGAAACCTCCAAGGCTGGTACTTACGAGTACACTTTCCTGAAACTGGCAGATGCCAGATACGACCACTCGAAGAAGCACTTCTCGCCTATCACGATTCAGCAACAGGTTCACTCACGTCCTGGTGCTCGTTTCGATAAACCTGGAAAGACATACAGCTACTGTTCGCGAGAGTCAGAGGGCGAAGAAGTCATCCCCATTACGCTGGAGGGCGTTGCACCATTCTACCTGGAAGTGGAGATCAAACATCAAGGTACCCCTAAGCCGGAAATCAGCGTCCACAAGAGCATCCCCACAAACAAGTATGATCTCAAGATTGAGCACCGCAAGATGCACCTCGGTCACTCGTCAATTTCCATCCGTAAAGTTCGCGACTCGCGTGGATGTACCCTCAAGCCTCCGCCAGGTGGTCCCCGTGTGCAAATCAGCGTTCATGATGCGCCTACCGCCACACCCCTGGAAGACCGACAGGACTTCTGTGTCGGTGAGCGCCTGTCCTTCGCTCTTAGTGGCCAAAGTCCCTTCACAGTATACTACACCTTCGAGAAGCAAGAGCGCAAGGCCTCCAATCCGGGCACTACTTTCCGCCGTCTCGCTGAGCTTCCAGGATCGTTCACCATCACCGGTCTACGCGACTCTGCTTCTGAGTGCCTTGCAGCGCTCGACCTTACCAAGACCATTCATCCAATCCCCTCTGTACGTCTCTCTGGAGGTCAAGTCCACGAGATCGACATTCATGAGGGTGGCGGTACGGATCTAGAGTTCCAGTTCTGGGGTACACCGCCTTTCGAGTTTACCTATACGCGAAGCACCAATGCAAACAAGGGACGGAAGAGCAAAGTGCTGGAGATCAAGACGGAAATCAGTCATGAGATGAGTATGAGCATTCCAGTCCAGGAGGAGGGTACGTACGAGGTTGTATCTATCAAGGACCGGTGGTGCAGTTTTGCGAAGCCCGGCGAGGGCCATGATGGCAAAGGCGGACAGAAGATGTTGACCTACTGAGAGTGAAGAGGAACGGGGTACAGATTTTGTTTTGATGTGCATGGATTGGCGTTTAGCGTTTCCTTTCGGACGTTTCTCAAGGTTTGCATGAGACTTTGTATTTATGGAAGGCCTTTGGCTATGGAAGGGGTTGGGTAGCGTGTGAACCAGCGATGAGCATTTATTATCGAAAACTTGATACATACAGCTTGCCCTATGCTTCTCCATACCGCACTTGAGGTAGCTCGATGCTGGCGCCGAAACAGTATCGATGATAAGTAGCGCATCGCGATCGCGTACCTGCATCTAGCGCTAAAGTGGACCCTTTCGCATCCTAACACCATACTGATGATATCATGAATAAAGTGACATCACAGCCACGACTAGGCTGATGGGAGCGACAAAAACAAAGAAAACGTCGCGTGTCTTCTAGCATTGGAACTTCATCTACATTGCACTTCACTCCAACTCATTGCGAATAACACAAATTCTACGTTTACCCGCAACCACACACCAAACAACCAATATGCCTCACTCCAAGACACCTGGCCAGAGCAATGCTGCTTCAGACAAGTTCAACAAGCAGGAGGCTGAGAGTACGTTTTACATTCTCTCCTCAACTTCTGCGGGGATGTCATGCTAACAAATATGACAGGCAAAGGTCTCGGTGCCTCAAACGCACCCGCAGCGAAGGAAGGCCACGCGCCCGGCGAAGCGCCCGTAGCTTCAGACAGCGGAAACTCAAACGTCGGCGTCGACCCGAGCGCCAACAAGCCCGGTGAGAAGGGCATCGGTGGACCTAACTACGGTACACACTAGACATGTGTCTATGAGGAGATGGTGTATGAATAAGAAAGAAAGGAAACAAGCAAGAACTCAGTCGTCTCCATGAAATTACGAATATCATTGTATAAATTACGGGTATATCTTTTCCCAAGTCACGTCAGAAAAGCTGTATGTGACCGTGTGTATGAACAATGTGGCCGTTATGCGTGTTACGCTGCCTTTGGTTTCGGGATGCGGAAGGGATGGGCTTCGGTGTTGAAGACCCAGTCGTCCAGGCTGATGACGTTTGGCTCGCTGAACGTCAGGTAAAAGTACTTTAGCGTTTCCGCCATCCAGAAGCTCTGTAGGCGTGTTAGTACACGCTCGATGTCTTCTGACAAGAAACTAAGAGTCGACTCACCTCCATGCTGTCCGCCCTCGGTGGAGAGTCGGCGGATACGTCTATCAATGCAGAGTTACCGATGTCAGTGTCTGTGGAGCGTTGTATAGCCGTCCACATATCCCATGCAGCAGCTTGCCATTGCTGCTCCCCTGTGATGCGGTGCATGATGAAGACACTCTCGATAGCCTCCGGCCTGAGAATGTACCTTCTATCATCGACACTGATGAAGCCGCTAGGGAGGCGGAGGTTTGCAATGTTCTTCAACGGATCCTTTTCGTCCGCAGCATTAGATGTCCGGGATAGTATACCATCGAGCCATGCTTTCTCGTCCCATACACAGGTTGTCGTATTGTCGCACATGAGGAGATGCGATACTTCGGGCATGATACCTGCGGGCGATGCCTTGTAGGCCCAAACACAAGTGTCTGCCAACTTCCGACCGATCGTGACATGTTCGTCGTTCTGGAATAGCTTTCCGCCGAGGGCAAACATGCCACCTGTGTAGCATGCCAAGTGTTGCATCTCTGGGTCTAACGCCGTAGTCGCACCTTCGGCACGGACAAATCCTGACATGAGCATATCGGAGTTCTCTGGGGTCGATGGCCTGAACAAGGCATACTTGGATGCCGTGTCCATTGCTCTCTCGTACATCTTGCGATAGATGGCGTCTTGACCACCGAGCAGCGCATATTGCTTGCCAATATACTCGTACGTTGAATCAGCCATACTCCCCAGGGTGAACCCACTGTCAGCAGTGAAGTCCGCAGTTCGAGCATTGACAATCAGAGGCCACATGCCCGGTAGCTTGGTCTTGTCCTGCTGTTCTTCGAGAAGTCTGGTTACCCTGTTGACCGCGTCGTACCATTTCGGGTCCCCGGTCAATTGCGAGAGGCGTGTGAACTCCATGGTCAGACTTCCGATCTCCGCAAGGAGGACCTGCTCGTCCGCTACCTGTGGTTTGCCCTCGCCCGCTGCACGGAACTGCCATCGCGTGATTGGTAGGTGGTTGGGTGTGTCGAATGCATGGTATAGCATCTCGCCCGCCTCCTTCGCCTTGTTCAATAACCTCTGGTCCCCGCTAAGCTCGAAAGCTGCCAGAAGACCACCCAAATGCCGTATGTTCGTCTCGAACACATTGATGTGGTCCAAATCGGTGTATCCAAAGTCGATTTGTTCGATGTCCTTGATGGCGGACGAGAACTCCTCTTCAAAGCCCATTATGTATAGTGTGTCGAGCGCGTCGATGAGGGTGGCCGCCCAGCCTCCAAAGTGATCCGCTGCCTCTCCGCTTATAGGTCGGACTTCGTCGTGCATCCATGCGTGGCTTCTGTAACTCTTCCAGCATTTCAGGAATTGTTTCTTAACCTCTTCCTTCCTCGTCTCGCGTATGTTCTTGGCCGTAGCATCTTCTTGTCCAAAGTTGAATTGTATGGGTGGTAAGGCTTTCGGTTCGCCGGCTGGTAGTGGAACGAGGGACTCGATGCGGTTTTTGAAGGGGACCTTTGTCCAATCGAAAGACTTGTACTTTTGCTCTTTCTTTGGTTGTTGGCTTTGCTGGCTCTCCGGGCCTTTGTCGGCGTTAACAGGCGCGTCGCCAGGCTGCTCGTATGGAAAGCTGAGGGACCAAAGCATGTACAGGAAGCCCACGGCGAGGACGGTGTATAGCCCATAGCGTCGCAAAAGCGCCATAGTGTATTACAAGAATTAAGTAAAAAGGGGTATAAAGAAGGGAAGAAGACGGACGCGCAAGACGATGTCTGCGCATTACGAACTGTGGGGAGGCTGATGACGGCGGTTCCTGCCAAGTCGGGAGGCGGCATCCTTGTCGTACACTGGACCCTGTACCTGATTACGCGCCGCTCTCCACGTCCGGACGCCCATCATTGCATCATCAAGACAAGTGCGACGGAGAATAGAATGCGATCCGAGGCTGCTGAGTTCGGAGCACGATAGCTAGCCCGAGGAAGCTTTAGTACGGTCATCACATTCACCTACTCGGCGCGCACATTGATTTAACACGAAACTTATCAAGGGGATCGCGTACCCCAACGTCAATATGCCTCAGATGAATTCTGTCTAAGGCCACTGATGATGTTTGGAGCACATTCGAGACATAATGGCAATGTTAGCTTCATCTTCGATACATAGCGACACAACCCACCCCCTTGGTGATGTTCATCCACGTATGATTTGACATGTTTTTTCTTTCTCTATTATGTACATCTGGACTCAGCTTCTATGACAGCGAGAGATTCGTATGTGACACCCGCAATTGTTATTGCAACTGCGCAATGGTCGTCTGTGTCTTCTGCTATGTTCATTCCTTCCTACTTAGACTCTGCTGGTGGCAGCATGACGACGTACTCCCTCTCACTGCCTCCAAATTTGAGTATGTCCTTGTCCCTCAGCTCAAAGTAGCGACTCGCCTCGAGATCCTCTCCGTTGAGCTCTGTGCCATTACTGCTTTCCAGGTCAATGATGTAGGGCTTGACCTTTCCCTTGTGGCTCTTGACACCGAACTCATCTTCCACCGTCTTTTGTATGTACCGGAACTGGATGACTGCGTGCTGTCCACTTGAGCTAGGGTGGTCGAGAACGTAATCGGCGACTTCCCGAGATCGTCCCAGTAGCCAGCAGCTCTTGTTCCAGAGTTCGATGGTCTCTAGCACATCGTCGCCCTTGAACACGAAGATGCGCCAGGGTTGTGAAGCGGGCGGTTTGCGTGCCTCGGGCGGCTCGTGGTACTTGAGGGAGATCTTGGTGCCTTCTACGCGGTTGGCAGCTTTGGCTAGCGCGCCAGTAGGCTTGAAGTTGGGCTTCTCCTTGTCAGGCGGTGCGCCGCCATACTTGGAGGGTGGTTGGGCCGAGTCGTCAAGCCCCCGGAAGGAGACTTCTTGTGAAGGTAGCGGTTGTTTGGCCCGCTTGTGGGGCGGCGGTGAGCGCGAGGGCGATGGAGAGCGTGTGCGCCGGTGACGTTTGGGCGGTGGAGATGTGGATGCAGAGGGCGAGCGGGTGCGCGGTTTACGAGAACGGTACGGTATGGGCGAGCGTGAACGTCTGCCCTCTTTGGACTTGTCGCGGCGGCGTCGCTCTCTGGACCGCGAGCGATCTCGCCGGCCGTGTCTGTCCGTAGAGCGATCGCGCTTTCTGTTCCTGTCTCCGTCCTTCTCGTGGGAGCGATCGCGCCTTCTGTCCCTCGAGCGATCTCTCTTTCTGTCGCCCGATCTTTCTCGCCTCTTGTCGCGTGACCGGTCTCGTCGCCTGTCTCTGGATCGGTCCTTCCTCCGCTCTCTTGATCCATCGCGCTTCTTCTCTCTGGAGGAGCCTCGTGGCTTCCTGTATGGTTCCGGCGACCGTTCCCGCCTGCGGACAGCGCTTGGCTCGACTGTCGTGGCCTTTGGTTCACGGGCGTTCGGTACGTCCTCGGGCTTCCTCTCTCTCGATCGACTTCTCGAGCGGCGACCAGATGCTATCGAAGGCTCCTTCCCAACGCGTTCGGATACATGTCTCGACAACCTGCTCGGGCTTCCGTTCCTGCTCGCGACTGCCGGGGGCGAGGCAGTCTGGCCTTGGACTAGCTGTTGCGTAAGCAGCCGTCGCGCGCTGTAGGGCGACAGGTCTCTCGCCATATCGGGCCCGATTGCTGAGCACTGGGGCGCAGTCGCGGTGTCGAGATTGGGGGCGCAATGACGATCCCAACTTTTTCTCTAGTGGCTGGTGGATACAGCCAACGTCAACGGGCTTCCTGGGGGCGGCGCCAAGTCGCCTGCACTGCGGTGGTAGCCGGCTAGACCATTACACCGTAATTAGTAGTGGGCTGCGCAAAGAAGCAGAAAGGAATGTGACTAGTACGCAATAGCCGATTTGCGATTGAAGCTGTCGGTCGCGACTTCCCCAGAGGCCCAAGCTTCCTGCAACTTCGTCACGGCGTCGCGCTACCGCGCCTCATCTTCATCTCGTCTATTCGCTGCATGTACACGGCGGCGCCACTATCCACTCCAAGGCGCCTATGTATACGATATGCAAGGAGCTTGTGTTTCTCTCCCACCCAGTCGGCCCATTTGGCCCCTGCAGCAGCGTCTTCAGCCGGATCCAGACAGGTACGGCGTGGTTTGCAGCCCCGAAACATGACAGCGGGCGTTATGAAGGCGGCCAAGATGGGCGCCTTGCAAACGTAGCCAAACCATCGTCCCAGTGCCCGCAAACTCTCTGGCGATTGCCTTTCCGCCTATCTCTCTCTCTTCGCACCATATCGTAGCCCGAGCGCCTGTAGTTTCCATCCTATCTTCATGCCTCCGCTGTGTTGCTGCCACTGAGTGCGGCGTGCGCAACGATCGCGCAATGCCGTCCAAGCGAATTCTTTCCTGGTCAAAACGCCAGTCTAGTTCAGAGCCCTACTATCGCACTGGGGGGTTGCTATCGATTGAGTCGATTGAGCCCGAGTCCAACACCGACGTTGAAGCAAAGGTACGATAACAGGCACAGAACCATGTCAGTGCGCTGCCAAAGACAACGGCATCTTATGCACAACGAGACGACCCGTACACCAATGTTAGCGACCGTCTGGAAGTCGGTGTCTGCAACTGTCTTGTGGTGCCTTGCCATTCGCTAATCATCTCTTCCAGACTACGCTGAAAGTTGAAAAACGACG